GACCCCGACCCAGACGCTGCCGTCGGTGCGAATCGCGGCCTCGCCTGGCTCGCGTGGCCCCCGGGGACCCACGAGCGCGGCAGGCCGCGCACGGGCCTGCCCGACGGAGCACGTGGCCCCCCGCCGCGGGAGGAGGCACGGCCCCAGAGGCGGCGACAGGCCCTTCCGAGGTCGCCGCGGACGCCTGGCCTCTCCCCGCTGTCCGCTCCTGCTCCGGCCGGAAGGCCGGCCGGCCCCGGAGCCAGGGCTCCCCCGCGGCACGCTCGAGGAGCAGGCTCCGCCGAGCCGCGGGCAGTCATGCCTCGGGTGGGGCCTCGGCAGCACGAGCCCCTTCCGAGGCCGTCGCCGACTCCCCGACCCTGGGCGGAGTGGAGTCAGGAGGGAAGAACACACGCAGACACAACGGATCGTCGATTCCCCGGAAAAGATGGGAAGTGGCGTGGAAGACAAAAACCAAGAAGACATTGGGAGATATGGGGGACCTTGTTATTCGTGCGCATGTGTTCGTGTCTCCCAGGGCCCGATTCATGGAAGCCCGAGGGCCGAGGGGAGGCAGCAGCGGGGGGGTGGGCGGGGCGGGCGGCAGCAGCAAGAGGCCAGCCGCGGGAGGGCCCCGCAAGGGCCCAGCAGCGGCCTCGGAGGGCCGCCGCGGTCTCGGCTGGCCGTGCGCACGGGCCCCGCGCTCTCCTGCAGAGGAGAGCGCGGGGCGGCCCATGGCTTGGCCTCGCTCGGACGTGTGCACTCTTTCTCGGTTGGGATTCTGAAGGAGCGTCCTGGATCATCCTGCGAAAGAAGCCACGCACGAAGCCGAACAAAGCACAGGGAATGGACGTCCGAGCCATGGCCAGATGGGCCCCCACTGCCGCCACCATGACGTGGCCTTCGGGGCCGCTGGCGGGGGGGCGGGGGGGGGGAAGAGGGGCTCGGATCGACTGCCGCCCAGGCAGGGCCGCCCACGATCCGAGTCGAGTTCGCCGGCCGGGGCCGCGGTTCCGAGTCGATGCGATGCGGGCATCGGCCAGGGCCAGCCAGAAGCGGAGCGCGGCGATTCGAGACAGGTCCGATTCGGGACGATCCGCTGGCGATCCGATCCGCTCTCGATCCGGTCCGACCTCTCGCGGTCCGATTTGGCGCAGACCTGCCAGGCCCGGAGGGAGGAGGGAGGAGGGAGGAGGGAGAAGGGACTCCCCGAGATCCCCGCGCTCCTGGAGCCTCCGCGGCACGGGCGGCGGGAGCGCCTCCTCGGGGAGGGCGGGGCATGTATTGCGCAGGCGGGGAAAACGCACACAGAGACAATGAATCGCCGATTCCCAGGAAAAGATGGGAAACTATGGACGACGGGGGGGGAAGACGAAAACCCAGAAAGCATAGGAAAATAAGGGGGATCCTGGGATTTGTGTGTGCACCTCTTTGTGTGTCCCAGGGCCCCGTTAGTTGCGCGCGCAGGCTCGGCCACGCTCGGCTTCGCGAGGCCCAGGCTGCGCACCGCGGGGGCCCTCGGGCTGCTGGGCCCTCGCCGCCGCCGCGCACGTCGCGGCGCAGCCGAGCACGGCCCTCCCCCCCGAGCTTCGCCGCCCACCAGACCACTCCAACCCAACCCGACGGCCCCGATTGGCCCCCCATTCCCAGTGTCCAGTCGGGCCTGTCCCTCTACAGGGGGAACGTTCAAACATAGTCAAACAATAGTCTGGGGACGATGTTTTCAAATATGGTTTGACGAGTTTGGTATATTTTTCAAGTACCTTTAATTTTAATTTTTCACTCAAACCCGCCTGTAAGAAAGCATGCCCAACCTAATTCCAGTGGAGGGGGGATCGAAGAACATTAAAGCAACACATGTGAAGCCCGTGCCCCCCCTCCCAACCCGAAATTCGGGTCTTCGGGTTGGGTTGGGGTGGCCTGGTACGTAGTCAGTCCTGATCATCTCGCTGCGCACGTTGGACCGCGCCTCCTTCTCCTTCGGCTACTTCGTCTGACCTCGTCGGCGTCTGGCCCTCTCGGCGCGGTCGGGGTGCGCAGCGGTGGCCCTCCGGCAGCGCGCCGCTGAGCAAGCGGGCCCACCCGACACTTCGTGCCTGCCGCGCTCCGCAGGCCACCCCACCCCCCATCCGCGGCCTGCGGGGTCTCAGGCGGCACCGCGCGGAGCTCCGGGCCGAGCCTCGCCGCAGCGCCGGCCTATCGGCTGCCTTTTCGATGAATGTCGGAGCTGTCTCCTGAGCGTCGAAGAACAAGCGCCACAAACATTAGCCTTTGGCGCCCGCGGGCCGCGCGCCAGGGAGGGGCGCCTACGGCGCCGGCGGGGGGGTGGGGGGGGGGCCAGCGCGGATCCAAGACATCTGCGCGGAGCGCCAAAAGTTATGTTTATGGCGTTTTTCTTCTTCTTCTTCTGCTCCCGAGTGGCCCTCGCGGTGGACGAGTCACAGTGCTTCGCCCACGCCGCCGGGGTGCTCGACAAGGTGCCAGGCTTGCTGCCACACGTCTCCATCAAGCACGCCGTGGT